CGGCTCACGCCGGCCCGCGCGCCCAGCTTCTCCTCCACCTCGGCCGCCGCCGTCAGCTCGAAGCCCGTGGGCACCGTGGCGCCGATCACCACAGCCGCGCCCGCCGCCTCCGCCATGGCCGCGCTCACACACCGCGAGCGCCCGCGCGCGGGACGGCGCGCGGGAGGGACCGCCACGTCGCCACGGCAACCGCGCCGCGATTGGCCAAGCCTGCCGGAAGCGCCCCGAAAGGGCGGGAGAGGGCGGGGCGGGGCAAAGCTGCTGCGTTGCCACGGCAACCGCGCTGGGATTGGGCGCGCCCGCAGCGGAAGTGTGATGGAGGGAGGGAGGAAGTGACGCTACCGAAGGCGGGTGTGGCGGTGCCGCCATGGAGCTGAGCGAGATGCTCTACAACAAGTCCGAGTACATCGAGACGGTGCGGGCGGGGCGAGGGGGGCCGGGACCGGGACCGGGACCGGGACCGGGCCCGGGCGGAGTGAGGGGACACCGGGAGCGGGGCACCGGCGGAGTGAGGGGACACCGGGAGCGGGGCACCGGCGGGAGCGGGCCGAGGGGGAACCGGGCCCGGGAAACCGGGTGATGCGGGACGAGGTGCGGGCGGGAGCCGGGCCGTGTGGCGAGGAGAGGCCCGGAGCCGCGCTGGGCTGGGCGGTCGCGGTGCCGGCTCCGCGGTGATCCTGTCCCGCAGGCGTCCGGCAACAAGGTGAGCCGGCAGTCCGTGCTGTGCGGCAGCCAGAACATCGTGCTCAACGGCAAGGTGKGTGCGGGCGGGCACGGGCACGGCGCGCCGCCCCCGCCGCCCTCGCCAACCGCCCCCGTGCCCCTGCAGACCATCGTCATGAACGACTGCATCATCCGCGGCGACCTGGCCAACGTGCGCGTGGGCCGGCACTGCGTGGTCAAGAGCCGCAGCGTCATCAGGCCGCCCTTCAAGAAGTTCAGCAAAGGGTGAGCGGCCTGCAGAGGGGCTCCCCGTGGAGGGAGACGGGGTCCAAACCCGGGCGCTTAGAAGTGCCGCGTTGGGGAAGCTCTGTTCAGAGCTCCGTGTTTTCCTTCTGCGGTGGTTTGGCATAATTGCATCCCTCTAAACCATCTTCTCCTCAAAATTTTCAGCTTTGCTTTGAGGGTTTCTGTGCCTTTCAAGCTGTAATATGAGAATACTGTTGTTTATTAAAATAGCAAAGTGCAGAACACATCTCACTTATTCTTCATTCCATTGCAGTCTTTAGATCTCGGTGTGTTTTACTGATATGACACATTCCTGTTGTGTCTTTGAGTCATCCTTTAAAAATACCTGAGAAAAGACTGGCTGCTGTTGGAATCTTCCTTAGCATGAAGCTTGCCCCTTAATGTAATTAGAAATGGGAGACTTTACAGTGTGATTTTAGGCCTAACAGCACTGTGGGTTAATCTGTTTGTTGTGGCCCCTGAGCGAACCCCTCTCTGCCGTCCCAGGGTCGCCTTCTTTCCTCTCCACATTGGCGATCACGTCTTCATAGAAGAGGACTGTGTTGTCAACGCAGCCCAGATCGGCTCCTACGTCCACATAGGCAAGAACTGCGTCATTGTGAGTGCTCCTGTTGGGTCTTTTCCGCTTTGGACAGCAGTGGAAAGGTCCCCGTGCCCGCCGTTTGTAGCAGGGCTGCTCTTCCCTCTTCCTTCCCCACAGAAAGTGGTGCCTGCATCTCTGTTGTTCTGAGGGTGCCAGGTACGGCTGACCACTGCTTGCAAACCCCATTCCCACAACTGTCTTTATGGCAGCTGGGGCCTAACTGGGACCCTCTAGCACTGGCCTGCAGGAAACAGGCAATTGCACTGAGACTTATTGGTTAGTACGGTCTATGTGCTCAAGCTATGTGCTCCTTCTTGCTTAGGAGGAAAAAATCAGCCTCTTAAATGCTGTTGTGAACAGCATTCAGTCAGGGTAAAGGTATATCCCAATATATGGGAATATATCCCTTATTATGAGAGTGAGTTTCGAGGAGATGAATTTGTTCAACTTCACAACTTGTTCAACTAACAACAGCTGAACAACTAAACTTGTTCGACTGTTATGGGAACAATAAAAAGAACTGTGTGTGTGAGCTTCCCCTGGTCTCTGTTCAGGGTCGTAGGTGTGTTCTGAAAGACTGCTGCAAAATCTTGGACAATACAGTATTGCCTCCTGAAACGGTCGTCCCGCCTTTCACAGTGTTCTCGGGCTGCCCAGGTAAGAACCCTCTAATTTTTCTTCTCCATAGTCAGTGCTGGATATTCTTATTTAAAAAACAAGTTGCTGTGACAAGGGCTTCTGTTTGCGTGGGGCCTAGAAATGAAGGCATGGGACACTTGGTGAAAGGAAAAGTAACACTGCTAGCTTGCGAAAGTCGCTGCTTTGAGAGGTGTCAGGAAGATGGTGCATGTTTACTCATAGCAACGTGGCTGGGATGGCAGTAGAAGAGCTGCTCTGTTAGTATGTACTTACAATTCACTCTTCAAATGGAGTAACTGCTTTGAATGTTGATTATGAATTCATTTTGCTTCCTGCATGAAGAATGCTGATGKTGCTGCTGTTGTTCCTCTTCCAGGACTCTTCTCCGGGGAACTCCCGGAATGCACCCAGGAGCTCATGATCGACGTTACAAAAAGCTACTACCAGAAGTTCCTGCCGCTCACTCAGGTCTAGTAGCCTCTTTACGGTGTTTGGGAGCAGCGAGGACACGTGGGGTGCGTGGGGAGGGCAGCGCTGGGCAGGGCAGGGGCTGCCCCTCTTCCTGAGCGCTCCTGCCACGTCCTCGCCGTTGGCGGCCAGCRTCCCGCGGGCGCCGCTGTGTCGTGTTGTGCGTGCCGTGCCCATCCAAATGTACTTCATTGCGTGTCGTCTGAACGTCCCTTCAGCGCCGCGGAGCTGCGGAAGCTGCTGCGCTCCCTGTAGCACCAGAGCGGTCGGAGCTGAGCAGCTCTGCCCCGCAAGCCCGTCTGCCACATCGCTTCTGTTCCTGAGCCAGAGCCAGGGGGTCAGTTCTTCTGGAAGCAACATTCATCCCTGAACAGAAGTGCCATGTGGCCGACGCGCTTGCTTTGGGTCTTAATTGCTGTGGTTCATTAGAGCCAATGCTTTACTTCTGAAAAACGTGCCTGTCTATGGGGTTGTGCTGAGGTAGAGGCCTCTTCCTCTTGTTCCCTGCAGTCCAGGATTATCTCCCATAGAGCCAGGGTCTTTTATCACCCTGTGGTTGGTTTTAGGTGTTAAGCTGTCAGCCAGAAGTGCTGTCCTATTCCAGCTTGCTTGATAGGACGCTTAGCTCCTGAAGCAGCCCGGGCGAGCGCTCCTGCCCATTGGCAGGGTTGGCATTCTGATGTCTGGTGCGTGGTCTGGCTTCCTGAACATCACAGACCCCGAAGAGCCAAAGGGCTTTGAAAGAGGGTTCCTGTCTCATACCTAAAATTCAGTGTAGCAGAAGGTGGGGAATTAAAAGCAGAAAAACTGAGGTGGGTGGGAAAATGCTGCAATTGTCCCCATTTGTTGTACACTGCTTGTATTTTCAGAAAGCTCTTCAGTGCTTTTTGCATCCTAAAACTTAAGCTGGAGRTTCAGACTTCTTGGAAAGAGGGAATGTTTCATTTTGCACCACCAGGATGGACATGGCTAACGCTTTATGTACTCCACTTGGTACCAGACAACTGACCAACAATTAATCTGCCCAGTTTCTGTTGCATTAGAGCATCAGCCCTCTGTGGCTGTTGGAAGGAGGGCTCCTGCGCGTTGCGACGCCCGGCTGGGCAGAGCGCGCGTTAGGGAGGTAGCGGGTGTGCGAGAGGCCGGCAGCCCTGCCGCGCTCACGCTCTTCTGTGTAGTGCAGAGTACTGAGATGCATTAATTAGCAAACAGCTTCAAAACACTAGTGTGTGTAGTAACCACTGTTAATCACATGTAAAGCCGCTGTCTGGTTTGTATTTTTACTGTACCTAAATTAAAAGCCTCTTAAGTTATTCAAGTGACTCAGGATCGTGACTCTTGAAATCAAACTGTCCGCAGTGGAGTGAGGTTCCTGGCTCTCCGGTGCCCGTGTGCCACAGTCTGGTTCTGTGAGGGCAGGTACTGCCCGTGCATTGAACAGTGTGAAAGAGCTGCTACGTTTCTGCTTGAGCTGTGACTTTCACCAACAAATGGAGCRATTCCAGCATGGCTGTCTTGCAGGGGCTCTGAAAGAGAGAGATTTATATCTTTAACTTCTCTTCTTGATGGAAGTGAGAATCCTAGGAAGTCGCTAAGTGTTGCTGACATTAGTACCACAGGCAGCCTCCTAATTCATTTAAACTCCTCATGTGATTAGTGCCTCCTCTCCAAAACGAGACTGGCCCTTTGCATGGGAGGCCGCCCCGGCCACCCGACCTCCCGCTCTCTGTGGTTCCCGCAAGGCTCTGTGTGTGTCGGGTGCTGAGGTGTCCGCACGGCCTCCTTAGTGCTGCTCTGCGCTGTCCACGCGCCCTCAGCGCCTCCGGGAGCGCAGGGAGCCTTTGGCAGGAGGGGCCTGTTTGTGTTGTCATGCTGTCACCTCATAGTTTCAACACCACGTCTGCATTTCACCGCGGTCRCTTGATGGTCTTGATGAGGCAGCGTGAGGCTGGCGCCGGGGGCCGCGGAGCTGAGGGCTGGCACTGGAGCACGGAACGGGGCAGAGCAGTGGGGAAGGTTTCAGGAAGGCCGTGCTGGAACTGCACCYGTCTCGTGCTCGGGGATACGTAACTGCATGGACCTCGCGCTTCTCAGCCTTGTCTTCCTTCTAGCAGCTCACTGAATCCTCTCTTGTTGTCTCTGTCAAGGTGGCCTCTGCCAGGGTCTAAAAGGCAGTCACCAGAGAAGATCTCAAATCCTCAGCACTGTTAACATTCCCTAGTTTGCCCTCCTGCCCTCTGGAGCTCCTCTCTGACCTGGCTCATCTCTACAGCTCTGCCCGCTCTCGGCCGCGATGGAGTGTCCGCAGGTCGCAGTGCGTTTCTACAGCCGCGGGAGCTGTAGCTTTGATTGAGTTAGCGCTGTGCGCTGAAGGGGACTCCAGGAGGGGCCTCTGCTGCGCGGCGCGGGGAGCTGGAGGTGCGCGGGGAGCAGGATGCTCCAAGCAAGGGGGCGGGAAACGGGAGCTCCTTCTTTCAAGACTTGTAGCAAGCTGTGATCACTTCCAACAGTAAATCACCGTGTTGCTTCATCGATGCTATACGCCCCTCGCTGCGTTGCTTCATCGCCGTACACCCCTCACGTGGCTCTGCCCCGGGCTGGAGGTGCTCGCTGTCGTGCTGCTTGCTGGCATGCAGGGCAGGGAGACAAAACGGGCACAAAACGCTGGGGCTTGAGCCCTGCACTGGCTCCACTGTGTCCCGCTGGCGGGCACGGGCATCGGGAGCGGCCGTCCTGGCCGCGGGAGAGGCGGCCGCGCGACGCACGCGGAGTGCCTGGACGTGCCTGGACGGTGYCCCCGGCAGCCGCTGCCCACGGCAGCTCTGCCCCGGCCCCTGCCGGCTCCCTGGCTGCCCTCCTCCTACCCAGGGACCGTCCCATCCGCTGACCGCGGCACGGAAGGTGAAAAAGTCATTAACGGGGCCAGGCCAGGAGTAAAATGTCACCCCCRGGTGACACAAGAGAAGCTGAAAATGACAGCAGGAATATCTGGGGTACGAATTAAAAACCAGCAACAYGACCAGGTAGATTTACGTAAACAAGCAAATTCTTACCTTACAGGAGCCACAAAATTATACAGGTAGCTAAACTGTGTAGTTGTCATTTCTCTTTCCCAGAAAAAATGCACCAAGTCCAAACTGTAACATGGATTTCCCCTCACATGGCGACTCAACCGCCTCTGCTGGCAGGACGTGATCGAAGAGCTGCTCGCGGGCCGCGGGAGTGGCGAAAGGGAGCTGAGCTGGAGCGCGCGGGCGATTCCCCTCAGAGCAGCCCCTCAGGGGCACTTAGCCGCTCGTGCCCCGCCGTGGGGCGGCCCGCGGACAGGCCCGTTCCTCTGTCTGCGCCCCTGCGTTCTCCTGACTTCCCAGCCTCACGGATCACGGTGTCCATCAGCATTCCTCGAGGAACGCTGAGCGTGGCCCGGGGCGGCCTGGCCTCGTGGTCCGTCCCGGCCCCGCCGGGTCGCTGACACGCTGTGTCCGTGTGCCCGTGTCACCCAGCCCTGCTGCCGCGCGGGCGGCCCGGCCGCTGGGGCCGCTCAGGGCAGCGTTAAAGCGCTGCGGGGAATAAAGCGAGCACCGGGTTCGTGCCGGGCCGGGCCGGGCCGGGCCGGGCCGGGCCGGGCCGCGGGGGCGCGGGCGGGGGCAGCGCCCCTCCCGGCCGGCAGGCGGCGCGCGCGGCCCCG